ACGTTACGTCTACGTATTAGTANACGTATACACTTACAATAGAGAGAACTATATATTATATATATATATATACTATATATATTANATTATATAGGGAACTATGTTGAGGTTAGCCCACTAGCTCATATCTGCATATGAGCCCAATGGCCCAGATTGAATCTGAGCCGATCTGACGATCACGACCTCATTTCGTGTTTAAATTTTAATTTTTTTTCTATAAATCCAAATCAATTAAAATTTTAGGCATCCATTTATCTCATCAAGGCGCACCTAATAAAAAAAATTTAAAAAAAATTTGTAAAAAATAAATTGACCAAAATACCCCCAAAACTTTTCAGGGGTATTTTGGTCAAATTATTTCTTACAAATTATGTTTTTGATATTTTTTTTAGATTCTCCTAATTTTAAAGAATACACACTTAACATTTCAAGTGGTTTGAATTTGTAGAAAAAAATTAAAATTCAAACACAAAATGAGGTTGTGGCCATCAGATCGGCTCAAATTCAATTTGGGCCGTTGGGCTCGTACATAGATATGAGCTAGTGGGCTAACCTCAACATTTTTCATATATATATATATATATATTATGGAAAACACTACAAAATGCCTATAGGTAAAAAAACGGCTTTATCACCATTCAAAGTTTATCACACGGTCGCAGATGTCTGATAGTGTTTGAATTTTAATATTTTTTTTACACATCATAATGATCTGAAATTTTGTAGGTATGTGCGCCTTAGTGATATGCACATGAATAAAATACAAAACAAATAATTTGACTGATTAAAATTACACAAAATACCCCTATAAATTTCAGGGGTAATTTTATCATTTTATTTTGATTTTTTTAATATTTTATTTTAGTGCGACTTGGTCATATGTACACACGCCCCAAATTTAGATAAATCTGATTAGTACAATACTTAAAAAAAATTCAAATACTACCAGACAACTGTAACCGTGTGATGAACTTTGGACGGTGATGAGGTCTAGGTGAAGTATTGTAGAACTTCACCTATAGGCGTTTTGTAG